TCTTTGCACCTCCCCTCAGCTTACTGCAGAAATTTTCCACCCTCTACCATCCGGGATGCCTCATTCAGACAAAGCTGATGGGGGGAATAGAGAGATGGAAGCCATCTGATGGGGGGGTGGGGCGGGTAGGGGGGAAGATATAAACCCAAGGAAGAGAAAGTCCCTTTGCTATGGTTGAAAATAAAGGAGGAAGGGCTGACCCAGGGAGGAAGGCACTAAAAATCATCTCGCTAAGGCCTGGGAGAAATGATGCTCCTTTTTCTCCAGCGATCCAAGGAGCTCTAGTTTACCCTGCAATCTTCACAACAGCTCCACAGCCATATGCAGAAAAAGGAGGACAGCAGCACAGTTTTCAAAATTGGTAAGAGCCACAGAAGATCACTCATGGGGCACACACAAAATGAGGACGAAAGGTGGGATAAATCAGTGAGACACCCCGTTCCGTCCCTCAGCTTCCCCCTCCTACCCATTTGATCTCCCCAGGACTGTCAAAAAATGTGTCACAAACACATACACAAGATCACACACACATATTATCCCATTACTTACACACATACTCACATACACTCATACATCTCATTCCTACATAGAACAATTTCAGGCATTCAGCATACCCTAATTCAGCATACCTTCCCAACATATTTATCATCACACATGCCATTTATGAACATAAAAACAAAGAGACATCGTCACAGAACTCCGGCTCCACAAACTCCCCAGCACGTATATCAACCTTTACCCAGAATCGTATGTAAACATGTCGAGCATTCACAATCATGCGGATACATCTCGTTCACACATCCAAATAACGTCGTTTATGTATCCTCTCTGTAACTCCTTCAGTCCCAGGCTCTTTTCTGAGGCGCTCAAACCCCACACCTTTTAAACATCACCTTCTCAAAAAACAACATCGCCCTTTCTTCCACCCCCATTTCCTACTCCCCGCTCTGCACGCAGGAACACACGCACCACAGAATCAGAGTCTGACCTGGGCTTGGTGACATATTGAAAGATAACCATTCGTTCATTTGTTTCTTCTTTTATTTATCGAGTGCCTATGATATTCCAGGTACCACAATAGACTGACGAAACAAGATGGGCAAAAATAATCCCCAACTGGGTCCTTGCTCCAGCTCGCCTTAATGACCTTGAACAGCAGCTTATGACATTGAGCCTACACCTTGAGAGTCCTGAGTGCGTACCATGTGGAGAAAAAAGAGAAAGGGATTGTGTCTGTACTATCCCAAAGGAAGAGGAAGGTTCTGTCTGTAAAATTCCAGGATAAACTGAAGCAGAGAGAAGAGAGTGATGCTTGTACTTTCCTGTAACCCCCAAAGGAAAAGATTAAGCAGAAACCAGAGTGGTAGACTTTTACCACTGGGGTGGGAGTATCAAAATGAGGAACAGGTGTATCAAAATGTTGGAGTTGACCCAAATTACAAGCTCCATAGGAGCAGGGCTTGTGTTCATTTTGTCCAGCACTATATCCCCTGCATCCAGCACATCACATGGCACACAGGAGAAAATTAATAGTTGTTGAATGAATGAATGAATGAATGAATGAGCTAAGGGTAACAAACAAATCTCTACTCATAGTTTTTCTTGATTCCCAAAAGACATTAAAAAAAAAAACCCTTCTACTCCTACTGACCTTCCCCCTCACTCCTGAAAGCCCTCAGGTCTCAGAGAAGTCAATTCCTTCATCTTAGGATGAGAGATGCTAAAAACCATCCTGGTCAACCCATCATCTCCAGACTGCCTGCCCCAGCCTCTCTCATGTCTCAGCTTGAGTCTGCTTAGTTAGGAACATTTTCCTGCTAGGTAGAGATGAAACCCCACAGTTAGGGACTCTCCAGCTCATATGCTCCAGATTCTGGATTTATCTTTGGCAGCATGCTAGTGTGGGAACAAAATTCCTGGATACCCTTCCCAGAAAGAAATTGCCCTGCACAATTATATTATATCACATTTTTTAATATATATTTTATTGATTTTTTTTTACAGAGAGGAAGGGAGAGGGATAGAGAGTTAGAAACATCCATGAGAGAGAAACATCGATCAGCTGCCTCCTGCACACCCCTCCCACTGGGTATGTGCCCGCAACCAAGGTACATGCCCTTGACTGGAATCGAACCTGGGACCCTTCAGTCCGCAGGCCAATGCTCTATCCACTGAGTCAAACCGGTCAGGGCTATTATATCGCTTTTTAACCAGGGGCAAAAACATCAGGCCTGGCCTCCCTGAAGAGAGTCTAGATGTCCTAGATTAAAAATTAAAAGAGTATAGGGGAGAAGGGGAGGGCATAATGGGTATAGGATATGTTGAGTAGGGGAATCAAAGCCTTTATAGATAGATATAGATAGATATAGATATAGATATAGATATAGATATAGATATAGATATAGATATAGATATAGATATAGATATACTCCATCTGCTTTCATTTCTATTCAGTACCCAATCCTGAGATAATTATTTTCACACACACACCCCCCCCCCCCCCGCCACACCATTTCCAGACTAAACAACCCCTTCCCACTCAAGCCCATTTGGGAACAGGTGGGGATTTGGGTTGGGGGAAGGGGTGTTCTATTTCCACCTAAAAGAGAGAATGCCTTTTTTGATCAGCCCTCAACCCTGAGAGTTAGAGAGTCTCGCTCTCCTACCCTAGTCCTAAATCCTTTTATTTCCCTTCATCTGATTGGCAAAGCCTCCCCAATATTCAAACAGGGCCAAATCCAGTCACCCATCAACTTGGGATCTCCCTTGATACCAAGATCTTTCTCTGCTCTGAGGAAGTGAGATTGGGAATCTGTCTTAGTGGTACTTGAGGAGATGGTACTTTTCTGGGTACGTTATTATGCATAAGCTAGCACTCTTAAGGTTCAGATTGCTAAAGTGAGTGAAGACCAGATAATCTAATCAATATAATTAGTGATCCTTGTCCACCACCCTCTCCTGTAAGGACAGGTCAACTAACACACTTTGTGGGGGCAGCGCCTCTGCTCCCTTCTTTCCCCAGGTTTCCATGCCTCCTCTGGGGATCCTCTTCTCTCGCCACTGAGAACTTCTCACATCAGAAGAAATAGCAATTTGCCTCCAGGAAAGACTTTTGGTTAGAAAGGGAGATGGTAAAACCTGCTCTTTTGCAGGACCTGTTACCTGGAATAGAGGCTGGGGAATATATGATGACCACTAGAGCTAAGGGGGAGTCATCCCAGGATACCTTGAATTCTCGCATTTATAGACCTTGAGGCCCCTTTTCTGCCTTCAACCACCTCCTTACCTGTCCCTCTTTGGATCTTAGTTACTATTAACAGTTACTAGCACAGTTTTCTAACAAGAATCAACCAGCGCTCCTCCCAACAAAAATCAATTCAATCTGGTTTTCCATTCTTCATCCCAGAACTCATTCCAAGGCTGCGCTTCAGAGAGCCCGCAAATTGCATTGGCTGGAGGCAGCAAAGGGGGTGAACTGCAAAGCACATTTGGATTCCAAGCCTTGTTACACTATGCCTCAGTTCTCCCTCAGGCCTCTCCAAGCAGCTAGTATATAAATCGGACCCACCACCCAGTAAAAAGGCATCATCTTATTGCCGCAGTTGAAGTATTTTTTAAAACAACACAATCATTAGCATCTAGCCATCTCCTACCTCATCTCTCCCTCTCGGCCAGAGCCCAGAAATGGAAGCTTCAGTGCTCACTATTGAGGATACTGGGGAGGAACTGGGTTTAGGGGCTATGTTACCTATATTTCCTTGTTAAACATCCACAACCTCTTTCCTGGGTCCATGGGGGGGGGGGGGGTCATATTAGGGAGAGGAGCACCTTCCCCTGTGCTCTGCTTAAGAATCAACAGACTGCGGGGGTTACTCACTCCCAGCTGACTCGGAGATTGGTGCATGGCTTGTATTTGGCTAGACCAGCCGTGGGCAAACTACGGGCCGCGGGCCCGGACCTGGCCCATTTGAAATGAATAAAACTAAAAAAAAAAAAAAGACCGTACCCTTTTATGTAATGATGTTTACTTTGAATTTATATTAGTTCACACAAACAGTCCATCCATGCTTTTGTTCCGGCCCTCCGGTCCAGTTTAAGAACCCATTGTGGCCCTCGAGTCAAAAAGTTTGCCCACCCCTGGACTAGACCCTCTCTTTCTCTGAGGAACAGGAAGAAAAGTTCCTCTCCTCTCTTGGGACTTTCCTCATTTATTCCTCACTTATTCCTTTCCACATGCCCTCATCCTGCAACAATGAGAAAAGATGCCTAAATGTGCTTGGAGATCCTAGGGAGACCCAATAGCAACAAACAGGCTTGGACAGTTACCTTGCCCTATCAATCATTCTTCACCTCCCTGCTCCCAGGTAGGAACCCTACCCTCCTCCTCCAGATCCTAGGTAGGGGCTCCACCACTCCTCCAGATCCCAGGAGAAGTGCAGAGTGGGGCTCCAGGCCTCAAGAGAAAGGAGCAGCTCAGGTATGGGGTCCCCCACCCCCCACCCCATGTAGGATGCAGGAGGCAGAAGCCACCAATCCCAGCAGAGGTACATATGACCCACAGGTTGGCACTAGAATCCCCGTGCACTGCATCTGCAGCTGTGTGCAATCATTCCACAAACATTCCTGTGACCTCAGACACTCATGCACACACATGTGATGTGTCTCACATCTGCACAACCCTGCACATGGATACGTGTGAGTCAGCCTGGCGCCTCCTGGATGCTGCCGGTCTGCAGCCCTGACACACTGCACCGCACATCCTCTCCGCGCTGCGTGTCACCGGGGGTCCACATCGCTAGCTTTGCAACTCCTAAACCTGCTCTACCCAGCCAGCACATGCCTTGCACATGTGCCTGGCCACTCGTGTCAGAGCAGTGTGTTTCCTTGCACCTGCCAACATGTGTGCCGGGAAAACATCCACCAGCCCGACTCCTGCCCCCCCTCCCCCTTTTTCCAGGCGCCCTGAGATCCCTTCCCCCCACTCCGGGCCGGGGACTCACAGAGACCGAAGCTTGATCCACATCTTCTTGCTGGGGGCTGACTTCAGCTCCAGGGGTGACGGGCAATCCGACTCCAGCATCTCGGGAGGGCTGCAAGGGGACAGCTCCATGCTCAGCCTCTGTCTACGGAACAGAGGGAGGAGACAGCACCGCGGCTCAGCCTCAGCCCCTCACCGGAGGACCCTCACCCCCATCCCAGCCCCTTCCCACCTGCGGCTGGCGTGGACCAGCCAGGCCGGTATCTCTAGGCTCAGCCCAAGCTGGCAGAGCTGCAGTTCCTGCGGCTGCTCCTCTCCCGCTGCCCAGCTCTGGGCTCCGGGTCCCAGCTCTCCGCGCCGCCGCTGCCGCGCGCAGCCAGAGCCGCCTCCTCGGTCTCCCCTCCTCCCCCGGCCGGTTCCCCCGCCCTCTGCTCCTCTCCCTTCTCGTCGGCCTGCCCGCTCGTCTCTCACTCCTGGCAGCCACTCCTCCCAGGGGAACGATTGGAAGCCGGGGGCTCACAGAGACAAAAGCGCCCGAGGGCGGGCGCGCGCACCCCGCGCCCGGGATAAGCGGCTGTGCGTGCCCGCCGCGGGGGGATGTAAGTGCGTGTTTACCCAGCGCATCGCCGGCGGCGGCGGCAGGACTTCGCTGTGGGTGCTGCGTGGGTCCTCTTGTTGTGCGTTTTGAGTTTCTGTGTACGTGCGTGTGGGTTTCATGTATTCACATGTGCCTAGCGTCCCGTGTGAGAGGGGGGGTCGGGACTGGAGTCCGCCTCTCTCTGCCTTGGGAGGGGGGGTGTGGCCTGGCACTCTGGCTGAGTGAAGCCACCACCATCAGAACCCAGCCCCAGACCAGGCTCCCTTTGGGCTCCAGCCTTTGAAAGGAAAAGTTCAGGGTCTGCTCTGAGTTGCATGGTATCCCACTCCTTTTTGCGGTTAGCTTTTTTCCATTTGCTTGGTCTTCCTGACATGTCCTCCTCGCTGTGGCCTTCCTGCTGGTGTCTAACTTCCCTCCTGGCCGCGGAAGTTTCTCCAAAGTTTAAAGCTTTCCAGAGAGTATCTACCAGCGCAGACAGCACCACATCTTCTTTTGGTTAAATATAACTCCCTCAGGGCCAGGAAATCACTCCCAATCGTTCATCTCAACCCCTGCTGTAGCCTTTCCAGATTATTTCCTCTTACTCTGTCTTCAGTGAAAGAAATCTAGTGGCTGGGGGCCCAGCACAAAACAGCCTGGCTGATCACAACACTTTTAGGAAGCAGGACCTGGAATTTGAACTCAAGACTTTGTAACAGGACAAAGCCTCTTCCATCAAACTGAGTCCTTACTCTGGACTCTGGCAGGAACTACCTCAGCATTCCTTAGAATCCTTCCCCTTGAGAAACCAAGATGGCGGCATAGGTAAATACCGGAGTTTGCTGCCTCGCACAACCACTTCAAAAATACAACTAAAAGACATAACGGACATCATCCAGAACCACAGGAAGGCTGGCTGAGTGGAATTTCTACAACTAGAAGGAAAGAGAAAAGCACACTGAGACTCAGAGAAGGTGCGGTGCTGAAGTAAATACAAAGGTGTGGTGGTGCATGCGGAGAGGGCTGGAGGCTGAGGACACGATTGTCTTTTTCAATTGGGAGGGAGTCTCAGGCTCTGAGCTCCAGTTCCGGGCGAGTCTTTGGGGACCCAGACTCACACGAGAGAAACGGGACTGTCTGGCATCAGTCGGAACTCGAGGGCAGCTTTCTCTCGGAGGCACTCTCGGCGATTGCCAGGACCTCTGAAGGCAAGACTGAGAGCAGCCATACTGCTGACGCACTCAGCCTGCCCTGTTGATCCCCTGGGACCCCGCCCCGCCCAAGCTGTGCACGGAGGCTTTTGCATATGAAAGTCCTGGCCCTTTGTAATCTGAAAATAACAAACTGCAGTTGCTCCAAGGCCCCAGGGCAACTTGCATTGCTTTACAGCTGCCTTCTGCTGGGTAGCCTTAGGTAAAGGCTAGATTAGCACCTCCTTAGATCCAAGAGCCAGTGTACCCAGTGGTCAGAGTGGGACCATCCAATTACAACTACTCAGATCTATAAGGGACACACTCAGGGGGCAGACTCAGTGAGCACCAAAGCCCCACTAAAGCAAGTCTTGCCCCATAAGGGTGTCTTCAGCACAGAAGTTCTCCCACCGTAGACACAGCTGATTCTCACAGCCAATTGGCCTGGAGGTCAAATCCTCCCAGCTTTACATACAACAATCAAGGCTTAACTACAAGACTGTGAACACAGCCCACAAGGGGGTGCACCAGGAGTGTCTACGTCAGGTAATTGGGACACTTAGCACAGAAAGCCACTCTATCGACACAGTGAAGCACAAAAAATGCCAAGACAAAGAAACAGGACACAAATGACAGAAATGGAGGAAAGCAAACTGCTGGATATAGAGTTCAAAACCACACTTTTAAGGTCTCTCAAGAACTGTCTAGAAGCCGCCGATAAATTTAGTAAGACCCTCGAAAAGACTGGTGAGACCGCCTATAAATGTAGTGAGATCTTCAAGAAATCTAGTGAGACCCTCGATGTTGTGATAAAGGACCAACTAGAAATTAAGCATACACTGACTGAAATAAAGAATCTTATACAGACTCCCAACAGCAGACCAGAGGATCGCAAGAATCAAGTCAAAGATTTGAAATGCGAAGAAGCAAAAAACACCCAACCAGAAAAGCAAAATGAAAAAAGAATCCAAAAATACGAAGATAGTGTAAGGAGCCTCTGGGACAACTTCAAGCGTACCAACATCCGAATTATAGGGGTGCCAGAAGATGAGAGAGAGCAAGATATTGAAAACCTATTTGAAGAAATAATGTCAGAAAACTTCCCCTACCTGGTGAAAGAAATAGACTTACAAGTCCAGGAAGCGCAGAGAACCCCAAACAAAAGGAATCCAAAGAGGACCACACCAAGACACATCAGAATTAAAATGCCACAAGCAAAAGACAAAGAGAGAATCCTAAAAGCAGCAAGAGAAAGAAACTCAGTTACCTACAAGGGAATACCCATACGACTGTCAGCTGATTTCTCAACAGAAACTTTGCAGGCCAGAAGGGAGTGGCAAAAAATATTCAAAGTGATGAATGCCAAGAACCTACAACCAAGATTACTTTATCCAGCAAAGCTATCATTCAGAAGTGAAGGTCAGATAAAGAGCTTCACAGATAAGAAAAAGCTAAAGGAGTTCATCACCACCAAACCAGTATTATATGAAATGCTGAAAGGTATCCTTTAAGAAGAGGAAGAAGAAGAAAAAGGTAAAGATACAAATTATGAACAACACATACACATCTATCAACAAGTGAATCTAAAAATCAAGTGAATAAATAATCTGATGAACAGTATGAACTGGTGATTATAATAGAATCAGGGACATAGAAAGGGAATGGACTGACTATTCTTGGGGGGGAAAGAGGTGTAGGGGGTGCGGGAAGAGATTGGACAATAATCGTGCACCTATGGATGAGGACAGTGGGTGGGGAGTGAGGGCAGAGTGTGGGGTGGGAACTGGGTGGAGGGGAGTTATGGTGAGAAAAAAGAGGAACCAATGTAATCTGAACCATAAAGATTTAATTTAAAAAAAAAAAAGAATTGTTCCCCTTAATGACCGCCTGCTTTGGCATTGGGGGAAATCCTATGGAAACAGAAGGTGGAGATGTATGCACTAACTAGTCCAGGATCCCAGGGTGTGAGTTTTAATTCCAAGAACTCTGGAGATTGGAAGGAGGGGTAATCAGGAGAAGATATTTACTCCATTCTAAATATCAGGTGGAGGCTCCCCACTTCCCAAGTAATGGAGTAGAAAAAAGAAAAGAAAAAAGAAACAGAAGTGAAGTGACAGGGTGAAGACTCCCAACATTCAAGAACTGCCTTTTAGGCAATTAGGTTAGGCCAGGCCTTCAGGTCTGGCAGGACTGAAAAGTATCAGCAGAACCAGCTCCCAAAAGTACAGAGACAGCAGGAGATGGCAGAGTCAGAGATGGAGAAAACTCTGAAAGAATACTGGGACTCCCCCCTCTCTGTCCATCTAACTTCATCACACACACACACCCTTCCCCTCCTTGCCAGGAACAGTGCCAGCCAAGACATAGCTGCATCTGAGATCCCAGTCAGACTCCTACACAATCCAATTCTCAAAATTTGAGAGTAATTGCCGTCCTTATCAATTGAAAAAGAATGGGCTGGCGCCCTGGCCAGTGTGTTTCAGTAGTTACAGCATCAGCCGGCATATTGAAGGATCTCTGGGGCACTACCTGGGTTGCAGGTTCAATCCCCGGCCCCAGTTGGGGTGCATGGGGGAGGCAATCAATCCATGTGTCTCTCTCACATGTATGTTTCTCTCTCTCTCTCTCTCTTTCTCTCTCTCTCTCTCTCTCTCTCTCTCTCTCTCTTTCTCCCCCCACTCTCTCTAAAAATCAATGGAAGAAATATCCTCAGGTGAGGATTAACAAGAAAAGAAAATTAGGATTAGAACTAAAGAGAATCCCAAATTATGCAGGTATTTTCACGTCAACACAGAGGTATATCCCACCCCTGCTCTCCCAGGTCCCCATCTTCTAACCCATTTTAAGAAAAGAAAAATTCACACACCCCCAAAAGTTATTTGTAGCCCTGCCAGCATGGCTCAGTGGTTGAGCATCGACCTATGAAGCTGGAGGTCACCGTTCAATTCCTGGTCAGGGCACATGCCTGGGTTGGGTGTTTGGGGGCTTGATCCCCAGTGTGTGGCATGCAGGAGGCAGCTGATCAGTGATTCTCTCTCATCATTGATGTCTCTATCTATCTCTTCCTCTCCCTTCCTCTCTGAAATCAATAAAAATATAATTATTTTAAAAGTCACTTGTAAAAGAGACTTTAGACTCCATCTAACCTTCATTTAACAAATGGGAAAACTAAGCCCAGAAAAATTATGCGGTCCCACAGAGAGTAAGCAACAAAGCCTGGGTCAAGTCTCCCAACTTTTTTCTAGTGCTTTTCCATCCTGTGGCTCTTTCTCTTTCTCTAGTCACCATTCCTGGTGTCTAACCTCAACCTCATTGCTCTTGCAATCCAATCCCATTTCTGTCTTACCCTCCCTCTAGACCAGCGGTTCTCAACCTGTAGGTAGCGACCCCTTTGGGGGTCGAACGACCCTTTCACAGGGGTCACCTAAGACCATCGGAAAACACATATATAATTACATATTGTTTTTGTGATTAATCACTATGCTTTAATTATGTTCAATTTGTAACAATGAAATTGGGGGTCACCACAACATGAGGAACTGTATTAAAGGGTCGCGGCATTAGGAAGGTTGAGAACCACTGCTCTAGACAAGATATATA